TATATATATATATGTGTATATATATATATATATATATATATATATATATATGTATATATGTATATAGGATCAGATATATAAATATAATAGGCTCTTTCATATGTAAGAATGCAAAGGGGATGTACACATCATAATTGTTCTGCATAGTATAGTGACTACATTAAGTGAGTTCAAAGTTTGATAAGCGACTCCGGCAATGCTTGTTTGGTTAATGGAAAGGCTTTACTGATCGATTGGTGGAAATTCTGCGAAATAGTAAAATTCTTTTACCATTTTCGCGCTACTTCCGAAGCTACACATGCGGAAATTATGCTAGGATCAATTTAATCTATCATTTCTGCGATTGCCCCGATTAATTGTCGCAGTCGACGCTAATCACGTGGAGTGTAGCTAATCACGTCGTCGTGCATATTGAAAATCGTAAGAATCCAATGACATTATAGGTATTTCTTATTTTTCGTTCCATTTTTTGATACGACAGTAAGAAAAGTTGCTTGCGATATGATTTTATCTTGAAGTTACCGATAGTCTCAACCAATTTTTTCTCGACTTGTGAGGTGAGAATACGAATAGTACTTTTTTAAGTCTTTCAAACATCATAGAGAAATTCTAGATGCGTGTTTTAGAAGATAGTGCCGAATGAGAATTATTATTTTCGTTGCTATTTCCAGATAACACATGCATGATACATATTAAAAAGGGAGACAAATTTTAAGGTTAGGAAGAAAGGTAAAGTTAACGAACTACTACTTTCTCCCCGATTTTGATGAATTTGAAATATGTTATAAAGGGCGTTATTTCAGACAACCTTTCTCTTCGAAAAAATTTCCGATCGTCTCTAGTTACCGAGATATTAGTAAAAACAAATTGTTACTAACACATTGAATTTTGTGAACACGTGTGCATCCGTGAGGCGACAGCAGACCCTCCCTACTTGTTCATTTCACCGTGAATCAGATTGTACGAACCATCGATATCTGTCGATCGACAGGTTGTTTATACAATATATTTGCCGAAGCAACGACGTAGAGACTACTGTTGGTATTCTCCTTAAAAACTAATTTACACGAAAGTTTTTATGAATTAGATTAGGGTTGGACTATTTTTATATCGTTTCGGTTAACTTTGTTAAGGCATGAGAAACATTCATACTGATCAATTCATCAAGAAAATGAAGTACTTCGTCATTTTATATGTAGGTGGCACGGATCATTTTTCTTTTCTAAGCGTTAACTAAATGGCATATCTCACCATCACACTATTGGCGATATAAAAAATAAGCTAAATCTAATCTAATTGATAATTTTTTCAAGTGTTAATATTTCAAATAAATTTGCAATTAATTTTTTCGATAGGTATGCGTGAAATGGCCCGAAGATAACTAATAAAGTAATTAATGCTAGTTTTTACGCCGATGTTTCGGGAGATACGTTGTATAAGCAATCTGCCGACTTTTCAAAGAGAAAAGTTGTCCAAAATAACACTCTTTACAATATATTTCAAGCCCATCAGGATCGGCGAAACAGTAGTAATATGACAATTTTACCATATATATAAAATATATAATATGTTCAATAATATATCATATTTGGGTAGACACTATTTTAAACGCGTCCAAAATGATTAAAGATCTATTTGCATGTGTAACACGCGCCTAGCCGGAACCGTATATTAACATAATTCGTCATTTATGCCCTACTGAACATTTCTGCTGGTACTTCCAGTTAACACGTGGTGCGTAAATCGTGAATCGCGAGCGTTGCCCGTACAACTGTACCCTTACCGCTGACTGTAACAACTAAAGCTCTCTTTTCAAGCTATACTTTTTCTTATCCTGACAATGCAAATTATCACGGGTTAGATAGACAAGCTGTCCCCTAGCGAAACACCACGTAAAAGGGAAGTATTCAGGTTCTACTAGTGCAGCGTTAGACATGAATAATTACGATTCATGATATGTGTGTGCGTGCGCGTGCGCGTGTAGGTATGTACGACACGATTAACAGATTATGCTTTGAATATAGCGCCACTTATTTCCTTGGCGATTGCAACACTCACGATGATCAATGAATCCGTTGGTTCTCGAACGAATGCTAAATGCAGTGGAATTCTTAGGAATTATGGAAATCCTCTTGATAATAATACATACCAATCCTTCACGCTTAAAACAGAAGATTCGATAATTGTATAAAATCACTAATAATACTAAAAATGATTAAAATGAGAATATCCCTGCTGGTATACAGATTGAATAAATCAATATAGTAAAATTGATTCATCAATCGAATGTCATCGGTTACGAAATCATTAATTCCCCATCAGCCTGTTTCATTCGATTAATTTCTATTAGGTGGAAATTCTGGAGAAAGAAGGAAGCATTACGTGATTAAGATGGTGCGTCGTAGGGTCCATTCATTGAAGCCCAGATTCTTTGTAAAACGAATGTGAGCAAATCGAATTACCGAATATACGATGACCGTCAATGAAAGGAAGTCTGTTAGGTGTACCGAGGGATGCCTAGCTGTGCCGTCTAGGGTCTGAGCCGCGGTTCGGCGAGGTTTCCTCTCTTCTGCAGGTCTTCTCGCGTTTCCATCTCTTGCCGTGGACTCATCGATTCAGCTTCATCTTTTACCTGAGTGAATAGGCCATACCAAATTAGAGGAAAGAAAAGGACTGTCAAATTAGCGTTTCAAAAACATTTCCGTTAGATAGTAGATTCGTGTAAGAATGTGTAACGGTTCCAATGTAACTAGCAAAAGAATTTAAAGGAAAATGTTATATTAGGTTTTTGATTTTCCAAACTATATTATGGAATAGTTTCTATAATTTCTGAGGTAAGAATTGATCGATTATGAAAGGATGAAAGGATGGAAGGATACGGGAAGTGAATTAGTTTGTAAAATTGACGAAGTGGAGTCGATTAATCCACATTGAGTTCTTACTTGTACGGCTTCTTCTTCAACTTTCCGATGTGTTGCTTCTTATCCTGTAAAACTATTTGAACGCCGTTTAGTAGTAAACACTTAGTCGAAACGTGTCACATATTTCTTTCGATAGTCTCAGATGTCTCAGATGTAATCATTTCTTTCTCGCTACGAGAAGTATTGGACCATCTAACGATAGTTGTAATAATGAAAATAAGTAATCGTAGATTGTTTTATTTCTTCCCATCGAGTGGTATGAAAAAAATACTCCAAATTTTGATGGACATAAATATTTTCAGGCACAACGACCGGAGCAAAGCGTGATGCAGGCGTTAGAGAGTTTAAACGATTCTCAGGTGAACGATTTCCTGTCCGGCAAGGCTCCTCTGAATCTTACCATGCGATTAGGAGATCACATGATGTTAATCCAACTACAACTATCCACCGTAACTACAGCTTCGCCAACGAGTAATCAAACAACTAGCAATACAGCAGGGTTAACTATTGGTGGAAACAGTTCGAATGGATCTAATTTACCTACCAGCCATGTTTCGACTTCTTTGCAAAGTAGACGGTCCACTGTTCTCGCTGCCCGTTCTACAAGCAGCGCTTCCACGAAATTACAAAATGGTGCCGCTGTAGCAAGGACATCTTCTCTGGTGAATAGGCTGCTTTCAGCTTTGTATGAAACAGCCGGTTGGACCACCAGTCTCTCAACAGCCACGACAACGACCAGTCCAGTCTGTTCTAGCCGTGCCACAACTGCCTCCTCTGTTTCCTCCTCATCCTCCTATTCGTCTGTTAGTCCACCACACTCACCCTTTTGCGTTAGCCAAGCACCATCTGCCCGAACTGGTAGTAGTCACGGTTCAGTTTCGCCCAATGGAAACTCCAACGCCTGTCAGTCTTGCCTTCTCTATCATCATCATCATCACCATCACCATAGTCACCACCATCACCACCACCACCATCATCATCATCATCACTCAAGAAATAAACCCATCAGCTCCTTTAGTTATACCCAATCTTCTTCATCTTCTTCCTCTTCATCCTCCTCATCCTCCTCGTCCTCTTCGTCCTCCTCATCCTCTGCATCTTCCGCATCCTCCGCATCCTCCTTGGAGCACCTGCAACAATCTACCTCTAGCGGACATGGATGTATGGAATCGATGCCATACGATATAACCCCGCCAAGAAAAAAACTCTGCACAGCTCACCATCATGGCCAACAAACTGCCAACGGTATTATGGACGCCTCCAGGAATTATACCGTAGATGGAGACAGCAGTCTCCAGAGTCCTCCTACCTCTTCGTTGGCTGAGCAGAATTCCAAGGCTGCAACTTTAGACACCAGGGCACTAGCTGAAGCTTCTCGTAATTTGACGCAGAAACTAAAGCAGCTCTCCTCTGAGGTACTCACCTCGCGGGTCGACCTCGCAGAGGTATACATTGTTACCGATGCCAGTTCCCCCTGTGTACCACTATTTCATATATACTTTAATGCTGCGTGTCTGTTAAGGTCCTAAGAGATATGAATAACTGAATTCTCAAGGTTTCTTCTTTTATGATTTTCGGTATAGTACCGAATTTATAAACCATGATGCAGAATTGATTTATTAAATGGAACTCTTAGGTCTTTAAATGTGCCTTTTTCTTCTTTCATACGTTTTGTGCTTGAAAAAACATGAAATGTCCTCTGTCTTCGTGAATCTATGATTTGTTTGTAACTGAATACAATGCAGTGTAAATTCGAAGTAATATCTAAAATAATTTGATTGAAGCACATAGTGAAATTAATATAAGTATTTATTATTATACTATTATCCAATGAGTAATGATATATGATTTTTTGGGCATAGGAAAACGCAAGACGCAGACAAGGTGCAATAATAGAGAGTATGCATCACCATGGAAAAGGTGTGTATTCCGGTACATTTAGTGGGACCCTAAATCCAGCACTTCAGGATAGACATGGGCGTCCTAAGCGGGATATAAGTACCATCATTCATATCCTTAATGACTTACTGTGTGCTACACCAGCTGCTACCGCAGGTCATTATAGGCATCATCACAGGCATTCTAGCAGTCGTCAACAGTCTTCAACTTCTCCGTCCTCAAATGGAACGATAAATACCGTAAATGGTGCCTCGACACCCATTGTTGGTTGTCATGATTCCTCCAATCCTAGTTATTCTACTGGTACTTATCTCTAAAACTCCTACTTAAATCACTTGCACTAGGAAAAAGTAGATTCATAATATTATTTATTTTTTTTTTTTTTTTCTGTTAACAGAGGAATTATCAAAGGAAAATGAAGCAACTAAAGGAAAAATGAGACGTTTACGTTTGGTAATGGAACAACAACGTGCTAAGAGAAAAGCTAGAAGACAAGCAGGAGCAGCACCTTATACTACACAGTGGGCGGCAGTGACACCGGATCCAGATCCAAATCATGATCCAAATACACCAAGTACCAGTACTACAAATGCAACAGAACCTCAAAATGAACCAGAGTTACAACCTTGTAGTCCTGAACCCGTCGTAGCTTGAACGTGTTGATGATTAATTCACGTAGAGAGTAATAATTGTATAATGTAAACTCAGTTTTTTACTAGCGCACTGATTTATTCAAGAATAAGCGGGCAGACTCTAGTGCTTTTCACCGCGTATATTTACCAGGAAGGATTTCGTTTTGACAACACTATCGACTATCAAGAGCTGATCTTGTTTATGGAAGAAAAAATTAAATACCTCGAAATTATTTTAAAAACACTACAAATGGCGAATTGGATGTATTACGTTGATCTCTTCCGCGATATATGGAATATTGTAACGAAAATAGAAAATCTGTTGGAAGGCTGTATGCTATAGTTATGTACGTGTGACATTCTATACGCATAATTTTCGGTATTGCCTATGATACATGTACCTCCAGTCCATATATATTATTGGAATGTTTGGACTTTGTTTAAAAATGCTATAATAAATGGCAAAATTTGAATAAAAAAAACTTAGCAATATTGTATAATGGAATGGCGTGCAATGTTAGCCACGATATAGAAATTATTAAATCGAAGTTTCACAGGAAACCTGTATACGTCTTCACTGGAAACTTTTATGCTATATTTAATAGAGAAGAAAGATTCTAACTTACAAATAATTAAACCACATTAAAGAACTGTTTTGGCTATTACTCAGGACTTGATCATAGCTGACAATAATTGCACTCGATGAATGAATCAGTGCGACCAGCACGTACAGAACAGAGAAAATCGACAAATAAATAAAAGTGGAATTCTCTATGGAAAAAGAAGAAAAAAATATGCTAGAGAAGAAGAGATTTGTCGATAAATTTAGGAAAATAAAGGTCGTCACTTTGATCATTGATTATCAATTTCTGTCGGTAACGACATATACTCAAGTTTAGTAGACACGAGTAGATAATTTTAATCTCACACATTTTCGCGAATCGCAGGAAAGACTGTTACAAAAAAGGCAATGTTACAATTGTTTATTCACGATACAATGAAAACTTCAGAACTTGTTGCAAGACGCGGAAGCAAATCTCTTTCTTTTTTTTCTTTTTCTTTTTTCCAACAGAAATATTTATGTTTGTCGGTGGACTGATTGAACTGTATTGGAATGGACCTACTTACAACAAGTGCACTTTGTGATATCACTGATTATATTCATATAAAATTTTACATATGGATGAATTGACATAAAATAGTTCAACATACTACGGAGAAACTTTTTTTTTGATTTATCAGTGAGATCAAGGCTTGTATTCATATAATGACATTGATTCTTCGCGCTTAAAGCACCACTAAAATCTAACATGTAATACTGATCAATCAGTTCATACATCAGTCATTTCATGTCAGTTAATGAATATAAAAATAAGAATAGACTGGATTTTTAACTCAGAAATATTGAGTCGTAAGTTTGATTGCTCTGTCCAAGGATTGTCGTAAGTATTATCGTTCGACAAGCAAAAAGAAAAACTCGAAGCACGCGGATAAATGGTCCTATAGTTAGAATTAGAAAATCCTATCGCATGGCTCTGACGCCAGAATTCGTTTAAGTTTCACTAGGTACTAAATAATATAATATTATCTAATAATAGCGTATTACGTTTAAGTTACTTAGGAGAAAAAAAATATTACTATTATTATATTATTATCATTACTACCGCTACAGTTTTACAAACTGGCTCAATATTGTAACATATGATTATCGAATTTTATCGAGTACCAAAATAAATAAGATTGCTTGCTAAGCTAAGAAAAAAGAACGAAGTCCATCTTTAAGTTTTGTTTGAATGTGACATCATCTGTTGAGTGTTTGTTATTATTGTTATCACTGTTTATTGCCTGTGTAAAAAAGATCACCGATGCTGTTTCGTTCTACATTTATTATTGATTATTATTAATTTTTAAGTCGACAGTTTTTTTATTTTCCTTTTGTTTTTTAATATACGTTTCGTTTTAGCTTGTAAGAATATACATACAAATATGATTTAAGAAACCTTTAAAAAAAGATGGAGTATTAAATTTGATTAAAGTTATTCATTTTTAAATTGTTTATTTAAATTATGTTTCGAATCACGTAAAATCGTAGAAATTTATCATCGACGCTTAAAAAACTACGCTGTCATAGTTAATATAATAATGAATTGTAGTTACGCGCAATACAGACTTCGTGACAATACAACCATTATTATAACTCAGAAAAAAGCAAATTATTGTTCCTTCATTGAACTGAATTATTAAAAATGTCATATTAAGTATAAAATTCAAAACTAAATTTCAAAAATACAATAATGTTAAAATTGTGCAATTTTTTTTTTAAGTTTGCAAAATGTATAATTGGTACGATTGTATATTTCATTGTTATATACTTATAGTTCTATGTTTGGACCATTATACTCTGATCAGAAATAATGTGATTTTTTTCAATAATATTGCACTTTAAAAAAATTTGTTCAATGTCCTACATCATCCACATACATTTGTATTATAAACAATTTTTTCTATTCAGTTCTAGCGGTGGCACAAGTTTAACAATGAAATGCTACCCCTAATAATTAATCAATCATTTTCGTTCTATTATTTAATCACAAAAAGGTCTTCATAAATTATTTAGTAATGTATTCTTCTATATTAATTTTGGCTAGAAGTGATATCCTCCGATATCATTTTATTTTATGTGTATGTATATACTAAATCTTTATAATAATACTACTGTCATATCAATATTACATACAAAACAATAGAAATAATATTCTACAATTAATAATAATATACATTATATATTACGGACAAGTGTTGATGATATGATTTATGAAAGATTTCCGATATGAAAATTTCTATGATCATTTACATGAATTTTTATTATATCTAATACGTGACTTGATTGTTCAGTCAAATATTAATAACAAAAAAGGAGCACTCCAAAATGTTTATTAAAATATGTAGAGGATATTCATTGAATATATATAGATTCTACTTTTCTTGACATTTTGGAGTGCTCAATGAACTTTCAAGTAAATATTTATGGTACAGAATAAGGAAATTCTTACAAGATGCTTGTAACTTTAAGTAATGATTTAAAAAAGAAATAAAAGAAAAAAAAACGATATGGACGGGATACAACGGGCGAAGTGTATATATAGCTCATAAGAAGAAGAAGCACATGATTGTTTTGTTTAAAATAATGTACAAATCTGTCAAGAAAAAAGGTTAAATATGACACTCGCCCATATGATTTATGAATTTTCTTTTCGTTTATGGCACAACGATGGTGCGTGGAGACTCCATTGAATATTGTATATCTAGAAACAGATATTGTATATTTTGGCAGTTGTAATTTAGTTATTTAATTATGCACGCCAATAATATTGTGTGTTTAACGTCCAAAAAGTATAAATATTAGGAATCAAAATAGCGTCTAAATAGGGGACGTACAAGTGCTTCCATCTTGATTGTTTAATACAAATTGATTTTTTTTGTGATAACTTTGCGACACATGTGACAGGTTTTTAATGGTGCTGCACAATGCTCGCAGGCCCCATGACCACATAAAAAAGCGACATTTCGACGGCGTTCCATGCAAATACTACACATATTAGCTTCCTCCAGATCAGCTACTCTTGTCTCTAAATATCGCAATCGTTCTAAATCTTTATCTTTCTCTCTTTCTTTACCCTGGTCTTCCTCGCTTTTTTTCTCATCTAATGCATTATCTTTCACTTTTTCTTCATGTTTTGTCAAGGAAATTTCTCCTGTTGCTATTTGGCCATCTATAAAAGAACAACAAAAAGAAAAATAAGTTATTAATTTTAATAGAAATTTGAAATAGTTTAAAGGTAAATAGGATACCGAGCACAGCTTTCGTTTTGGCAATTCCATGACCACAGTGCACACAATTGATGATCGCAATACTGTTACTCGGATTAAACCTGTTTCCATCTTTCACTGCATTTGTTACCATACCTAAGCAACCATGACACTCAGAAGCATCACCGGAACCTTGAACACACTTTCTTGTTCCGCGCAGCACTTCTGATTGTAACGTCGTGTCTATTTGATATATAGAAGACTGTGAAACAGGAGCATTTTCTATTCTGTAACAAATAAAGAAAAATAGGTTTGGTTTGCACAACTTCATAATTAATTAAATTACGTACTCTAATTGGGTACTGTGACTTTGGTATTGGTAACACCGTAATAAATCAGCATAAGGAGCAATTTGTGAATCGGCTTCGAGGAAATCCAATGGCGTCTTATTCTTTGAGTTTCTTACATGGTCCAATAAGGTATAACTCTTATCTACACTTACTAAGAAACAGGCCAATGCCAATTCCGTTCTTGCGCCTTGTCTACTCAAATTTTGCCATATCTACGATAAATATTATTCGAATAACATAACTAATAAAGAGAAAATTAAAACACCTATTAATTATGACATACTGTATAAATAAGAGGAGAGTCCCGGCAACTTTCGGGCGTAGGAACTACATTGCTTTGATTAGGGCTTTTCACTATAGCAATATGTAGCACTGTATCTCCATCGGCATCTGTGCTAGCAATATCAGCATTATAATGCACAAGAAGTTCGACTAAAGCCCAATGTCCTTGAGAAGTTGCTAGGTGTAAAGGAGTTTGTCGACGATTATTTCGTAAATCCACTTTCGCATTTCCACCATCAGGAGAAAGGAGCGTGGCGGCTACATCCTTGTGACCATTCAGAGCTGCAAGATGTAATGCCGCAAAACCATCTTCTTTCTTAACATCTACGAGATGTCTTGCTCGTACTACTAATCTCTGTGTTGCACTACATTAAAAGATACATGTATATCTTTGTAATTAAATTCCTATGTAACTGAAGAATCAAATGTACTTACTGTGCATTACCCTTTAAAGCAGCGTGATGTAGAACATTGAAGCCTCGCTTGTTTCTCAAAGTAAAATCTACCTTTGGCCATGAACAAAGAGCATCAATTATATCCAAAGCATCTTTTCCGATAGCGTCGTGCAATGCTGTGTCCCCATATGAATCTTGGAGATTAACATCACACTGATGATTTAATAAAACTTTTACACACTGAGCATGTTGTTTATTTACAGCTACATGTAGAGCGCTACATTTGCCATTGTTGACGGCGTTAATTGCTGCACCACGTGAAAGAAGCAACTCCATTATCTCTGGTTGATTACTATATAAATAAAAAAAACATATTCATAATTTAAACATGTGATTATTTAAAATTTAATAATTTGTACAACAAACCCAAAAGCAGCATAGTGAAGAGGTGTATCTCCATCCTCATCTACAGCTTGCAAAGATGCTCCAGCATGCAGAAGTAGAGTACAAAGATCTCTTTGTCCTTGATGTGCTGCTACCTGTAGACAAGTCTTCTTACCACCTCCTGGACCACCAGCTCTCGCATCTACTCTTCCAGGATACTTTTTAAGGAATTCTTGAACTGCAGAGACACCAGCCTCACCCCTGGTTGCATCTCTTAATAGTTTTTCAACTTCTATATCAACACCTTCAGCTATGTAAATAATAACACAAAATCATAATTTCGGATATTCAAAAATTGTTTTAGATTCCGCAAAATTTCAGATTTGTTTACGACGTAAGTATGGTAGTGAATATATAACATAAGTTCATGAACAGTGTTTTGTCGCAATATAAGTTACAAATTGTTTCTTTTCCTTAGATACTTTCATAATCTAATTATATTGTATAATACGATTACATTTCCGAATCTAAAAGCTTAATTAGAAAACTTAAGAAAAAACATTAAGAAGCATCGTACTTATGTCTTTCAAATGTATTTTTCGATATTTGAAACTTTTGGAACCCGGTTTTAGCCTCAGATACCCGAAAAAAATACACAACCCGATTTGAATTCGAAATGTCATCTATAGACTCCTAATTAATAAATAGAGTAATATACCTGTCCAATCTCGACTTCTAGTTACTTCATCCTGTAGTGCAATAGTCTCTGTTCCAGGAGGAATAAGGGTGACACTTAAAGGATTAAATGTCCACGTATGATCATCTAAAGCTACTCTTAAATCTCCATCGGAATATATCTTGATTACTTTCCCAGTTTTTCCTAGGGCCTAGAAGTCTTTTTACTATGAAAGCTAGTGATAATTAATAGATTGATAAACTTACATTTTTCATCACATCTATCCATTCTCCGTGGCCCCGTTGATAGAGTTTAACTGTAGATAAATCAGTTTTCACTCTAACTATGTCTCCTAAAGAAAAAGTGTCTTTGCTAGTGACTTTTGTCAATCCACCTGGGTGAAAAGTCCATCTGTTGTTACATCCCTCGAACTGTACACGAACATCTCCCTTATCCGTAATACGATGAACTCTACCGACCTTTCCTATATACTCGGCCATACGTGGATTCCAACCACCATGGCCTTCCTGCATTTCTTTTAAACTATCTACATCGACCAATACCTTTATTTTGTCCCCAACATTAAACGTTGAGTGGCGTGGACTAGATACAGTAAAAGGAACGCCACTCCTAGTCGGAGTTCCGTTGGTTCCGTTATCCGATACGGTCATTATTGATTGCCCAAGGAGAGGAAGATGTTCCTTGTAATATGTGCCAGTTGTAGCTTCTTCCACATAACATAAATCTACACAACCCTTATACCCTAAACGGTAGACATTTGTGCTGCCCTTAGACCATGAAACAGTTGCTACTGATCGACTACTTTCATTGTCCCATCCACGTATATCTATGACTCTACCAGTTTTTCCTACAATGTTATGTACAATTATATGTAAAAATTTCTATGTTACAATACTGTTAACATAAGATTGAAATGTTTAATACCTCTTCCACCATCTTGATTTCCCCATTCCCAATCAGGACCACGTACAACTTTAGCTCCAATAAATATTCCTTTCAAAGGTATCTTAGTGCAACCTTCTCTTGGAGTCAATTGAATCCTGTATGATTTGCAATAAAATTCACAACATGATATATATACATAATTATCAAATAAATATAATAACTTTTACAAAACCAACCCCACAGAGTTAGCTGTTTGAAACCTCTCAAAGCAATGGTTCAGATCATGCACATCAGCCATATAGCACTGAGTGCACAAGTCATAATCACAGCATTGCACGCATTTCCATCTGATGCCAATTATTCCATGTCTTTTACATCCATCACATATAATATTTGCGTGTTTAACACCTATAGCTGCATTGTCAAATACCAATAGGTCATAAGCTCCCTGATATCCAATTCTATAATTGCTCCTAGATCCATGATCCCACTGAACAATAACAGTTTTATCTGGTGTTCTGTCAGATGGATTGGGACTAGAAGTTGAGTTGCCTAAAGAAGGTTTGCCGATTTCTACAACTGTTCCTGCATGACCCTCTCCACCATCTTGATTATCCCACTTCCAATCCTGTCCACGAACCACCCTTAAACCAACTTCTAACATTTCCAAGTATACGTGGTTCTATACGTGACCCTTTGAGAGATAAACAGATCAAACATGAACAAATTATAAACTTGAATAAAAAAAAAAATACTAATTCACTGTATATATTAGAAAGTTCCATTGTACCACTCAAGTTTTAATTCATTGGATTTTTTTGAAACTTTAATTCAATCTTACATTTAAGAAGAAAAAGAAAAAATTTAAATGTCGTATGAATTCAGATTGCAAGCATACGTACCTGAAACGGTCAAATCTAATGCGATGTACTTTATGAATCATATGCAACTTTGCGTCCAACTTTTCACATAACTCGGAGAATCTCACATTGGAAAGAAATGTGACAATACAAACGTGTATGAATGGACTCGTAGATAATTTGTAACATTCGGCAACATTATTACCAAAGACCACGAAGGTTCATCCCGATAGGATTCTGCGTCCGTGTCAACGATCGTAACCTCGTAACTTGGAGACTAAATGAAGGCGCCTCTTTCGAATGATTACCGAGGCTAATGGAAAACTAGAGAGGAGAACAAACCTATTTTTCGAATATGAATTTTAGCTTTATATAATTACTATTGATCTAATCTTTTCATCAAGTTTTCAAACACGGGACTGCATTTTTAGTAAATGGTCATCTCTATAAATCTCTCGCAAAAAATTCTGAAAACGAATTTGTGACTTGACACATCTTTCCATTTAATAATTTCGCTTTCACGATTTCCTTTTACCGCCACTACTATCATACTTTCTACGAAATATCTCGTTGTTAATGAATCAGTTTACTACGGTTAGATATATTGGAAACGCGAGAAATTGAAAAAATGTAATTTATATCAAACAATGATTTTTAAATGCACACATTGTGTAATATTTTCTGAGTTTTCGTCGATTTTTATATACAACTTTTATAACCATGTTTGATTGATCTTGAGAATCTGTTGGTCTATGTGATGAATAACATTTTATAAAAATTTTGATCATTTATTATCATTGTATTATCAATTGCAAATTTGAACTTGCAGTATATAAAGAATTTTTCTAATCCTTTCTCTCACGTGACTATTATCTGTCTGCATTATTATGCGATTCACGTTCTGAATATCTTTAAAAAATTCACCTTTCATTAAAATATTAATGATATTTATAAATAAAAAACTTAGAAAATTATGAAATAATTTATTTTTATTAAATTTGATTATTTGTTCAAAAGGCGTATGATAGATTCAAAAGATATAGCGCGATCGTAAATTATTGTATTAAGCGGCGGCTTCGATTGATGCCAAAATGACGCCGTTAAAGTCGCCGATACTCAGGACCGTCTGCTGTTTGTAGCTGTAGATATTTGATACCGAACAGTAAAACGGAAAAAATTGTTAATTAATTTTCAAGCTAGTTCATTAGCTATCATTTGCTATCAATTTATTATTATTAAATTCTATTTAATATTTCAAATATTTAAAAGAACTGTAACCTTTCGTAAATCATTGTCAGCGATACTTAGAAATGGAAGAACTCATTCCAAATTGATATCATACGGCACTGATTGATTTTCGAGCGCCTTATCTTCACCTAAATGTCTCGTATTACTGTTTGGGAAGTCGGAACACTTGTACTTTTAGGCTCGATTGACTTTACAAGCGCATTGTATTGTTCATGCGTACTATAATTTCGAGGTTATTTGTATTAATCATCCTGTCTCGTTAGTAATTCTAATCTGAAGAGCGGATGGCGGGTTATCAACCAACTTCTCGAGTTTACCATCGATCGTAGTCGATTAAAATAAAGTATTGTTGTGAACGAATTGCGAGACCGCTTTTCATATTCATATGTTTACGAGGCAGCACGCGTTTTATTGTAGATAACGGACGTAACGGACTTAGCGGAATCCTGAACTTATGTTGGTGAAATACGCACGGCCTCAAAACGTGCATCTCTAATCTCGCCACGGGTGACAGTTCCGCACCGGTATCGTCGTCGTTTTAGTTAACCTCCAGTAATCATACAATCGAAGTAATTTCTACCATTTGAAGAATGAATCCTCTTGGGGGTGATGGAAGTGGAGACGGGGATATAGAACGACGTGGAATTGGACGTGGCCGTGGTCGGGGTCCGTGGGCTTCGAGCTCACAGGAAATACCAATATTAAGAAGACCTCATCATGCTACATCTGGAATACAAACAGGTTGTTATGATTTATAAGAAAGAAGACTTTGAATGTGATCATTACATTTATACTGAGTTTTGAACTTTATTGGTTTTTGGATATGATTTCTTACCTACAGGATCAATGGAGTCAAGAAACACAGACCAGAGCAAATTGGATAAGTCTTTTGATGATATTATTCAGAATTCTACATTATCTGTACATGCAGCTGAATTCATTCCAAAGTCATATCCTATTAAACAGGTACTAAATATTTCTATTGGATATTCTTTTCCTTAAAGTATTTAGGTATTGAAATATTTGTATTTATTTTATGATGTAGCATCATCAACAACAGCCATCTACAAGATACTTACAAAAACATTCAGTCCAAAATAGATTACAAATGGCACGTGAAATACCCCTTCAAGTGCAAATGATGCAACAAGTACAAAATTCTGCATTTAATTATGACACTCAACATTATCAGCAATCAGAACAAGTTCAACAGTTCGATAACCTTTCACAACAGCAACAACAAGAGCAATCCTTGAATATCCAAGATCATGGACATTTTGATGGAGGCTCAGGAGATTATAAAGACAAGCATCAGGTGCATGCTTTAAAAATATACTATAAATAAATAAAAATTAAGTTTAATTTGTGATCTATTTATTATATGTTTACAGAACTCGAATATAGAAGATGATAATTTTTTAATTGAATTTGCAAACATAACACAGAATTTAATGAGTGTTATACATTCATTGATATTAAATCCAGGACATTTTGCTTCGATTGTGCCACCACTCATAAGTAATCTTAGATCATATTTAGGATTCCCTAGTCAGTTTCGAGAAATTATAAAAATAATAATTCAGCAGGTATCATTTTTCCTTTTCTATTAGTTAAAAAAAAATTACAACTTTATGCGTCAAATTATTTCTAGTCCATAAACGAGGGTAATTTCCGATATAGCGGTGCTCGACTTTGCGCCTCCCTGGATAGTAGTCTGACTCCTATAGAACAGACGTCTTTCAGATGGACTTTGTATACTTTGTGAGTTATTGAATAAAAGTACAAAATTTATGTCAAGCATTTAAGCCTTCAATTTAATAAACACAAGTTGGCAACAGGTGTAAAAACGAAACAGAGAGTCAAGCATCCAAATGGCAACAAAAGGAGACTCATATAGAAGAAGAACAGAAGAAGTGTCATGGATTGATATTACTCTTGGCCGAGCTGGTTACGCAAATGGATCACACTTCTGCTTTTGCTTTAGGAGACTTATTAATTCAGTTTATTATTATTATATTAAAAAAGCCTGCACCAAATTCTGTTAAGAATGTCTGCCAGGCTCTTAAGGTATATAATATTTGTAAGATTTCCTACATTATAAAATCTGGATTTTAAAACTTCTCATGATTTGTGACATTATCTTTTTCCAATATAATGTATAGTTGGCAGGACAAACATTAGAAAAGGATAAGGCTGAAAATCGTCGCAAGGAAATGGAAAACATGATGCGAGCTTTGACAGAACTTGTAACAGAAGGTAGGGTGGACTCATATGTAGGACAAATGGTACATAGTGTCCATGAATTGAGAAATGAGAATTGGGGACAAAACTCTCTTAGTCCCTCTACAGTGGATTCAAATGAACCATTAGATCCTAACCAAGCCCCAGATGAACCCGTTTTATATGGTCCTGATGGCAAAGTACTAACACCAGAGGAAAATAAGTTTTTAGAAGAAGTTCCTGATAGTACAATGAACATTGAGGATCATGTGTATGCATATTTAATTAGTTACCTATTAAATATTACTACTATATGAAAGTATAAATAAATATTTTTATAGTATATCAGATCATGGATATGAAGGTGAAGAACCATGGATGTCAGAGGACGAAGACATAGATGCGTTTTATGAAGAGTTTTTAAAACATATTCCTATGAAATATTAGACACAAAAATAATCGAAAAAATGATAATGGTTGTCTATTATAAGTTATTATCGCGTAACAGGTCTCATAGTTGGAAACTATGAGGATGGAAGAAACGATTCATCAAAAATCGATCTTTTTCTCAGTTGCTATTTCAAGCAACTATCTTACTTCTTTTTTTAATCATATACCATTTTTAGTACCATTCACTATGCACACAGTTTCTTAAATTTAATAACGAATATCAGAAAAATTTGTTCCTAGGACAAAAATAACATAATCTATTTGTCTACAATACAAAAATTTAATACTAAGTTATTTAAATTATTGTAATAAATCAACGGAGCGATTTAAGGTAAAATATTAATTATTGTTTTTATCATTTTTTGCGGTTTACAATTATTATTATTGAAAGACAGAGAATTTTGTTGTTTCTGATTAATTTTCTTGCAGGTATCATAATCTAGTAGTTTGTAGTCTCTGTTTCGTGGTTTTGTAAATATATTCTGGTGTCTAATTTGATCAATTTTAAGAGATCAATTTTTTTATGTGATTCTTAGAGACAATTGTGCACATAATCTGTTAATGATCATTATATACACATGAAACCATCGGTATTGGTAAACCTGTTTTTAACACAAAAAATTATTATTCACTAAACAATAACGTTGCAATACGATTATTTAATCTTTTTTATTCAATCTGTAATATGGTGCTTTTTTTGAATATACAGGGTGATTCACTTAAATTGAACATCTACATTATTTCTGTTAGTATGGAAGTTAAGAAAAACTGATAAAGTGATGTTTGAATGATTCTAAAGCATGCATTTTGATGATAATAAAGAAAAATTCTATCAAGGTCATATTAATGGTTTTTTTCAAGGACATTGATATTTTTTTTTGCACATTAACATTGTAGTCGGTATTAAGTTGAGTTCAATGACCTATAATATTATAACTTTGAGATGACCATGTAAAACAAAAAAAATATGGATGATACAGAAGTAAAGGAATTAACTTCATTTTATTCTAAGTGTTCAAAGTGCTAATTACCTATATCATTACATTTTTGTAAATGTTAAGGGAATTCTTGAATTGCATTTTTTGTAGTATTTCTGTGATTAACATTCCGGATTCTTTGTTTCATATCATCTATTGTTGCAGAGATTTGGTTATAAACACTGGATTTTATAGCTTCCTACAAAAACTAGTAATCTAATAATGACAAATCTGATGATCGAGATAGATAAAGATTACATCACATCTTATCCATCTATTCTCAAATATAATGTATAAGTACATTTTGTGCTATTTTGGCATTATAAACTGAGCATCCATTCTGTTGATACTACATTACAATTCAATTTTAACATGGAATATTTTCTAATAATTGAAACAATTCTTTAATTAGAAATTCTTTGTATTTTTAAACATTTAAAGTGCTGTCATTGAAAAGTGGATCGATAATCTTATTCTTTTACAACTTTGTAGTATGAGAAGTATGTATTGTTGGTATATACAAGGTCATGGTATTATAGGTCATTGAACTCCTGTTAATATCGACTACAGCATCACATTATAAAAAATAAATATTGATGTACAAATAAATGTTGATGTCCTTAAAATAGCCATTAATATGACCATGATAAAATTTTTCTTTATCATCATTAGATACATGGTTTGGAACTATTCAAACACCATCTTGTAAATTTTTCTTAACTTTCATTGTAAAGGATATAAAATAGATTAGACAATTTACATGAATCACTCCGTATTTATCCCGCTATTGGGTTTACATTTAAATTGAAAAACTCGTCCATAAAAAAATAGTTGATTCGTTTCTTATCTAAATCACTGAATTCTGTTGTGATTTATTAGGACGCTATTTATTAATTTATATGGTTAATATATTTATATTTGATTAAAAAAACTTTTGTAACGAGACACATCATGTACCAATGAAAATAAAAAAGAAGTATGTAATTTTTATTGGGACATAATTAAGTTACTGTTGACTGTTTTTCTTCCATCTTGATAATTAGCAAAGTAAATTATTACTGACTATATTAAATGAACTTGTTACAATCGTTCTTGGAGCGTTTTTTACTTGCTCGAAAATAAACGATTTTCTGATATGATTAACATATGAAGTGGTTTAATGTAGCAAGCAACGTAGGCGAGGTCCGTCGAAGGATCGTCAGGGGCATGCGTAGGCAAAATTTATAGTGGGACTGAAGGTTGTAGCAAATGGGACTTTCCTTATATTCAGAACCATACTCATCTTCGCATTCATTGGAAACTTGTTAATCCATTTAGTTCTCTAACAAAACAAGATTAAATTTCATTTAAGATCAAATTGTTTGTACGCTAAAATTTTAGATTTATTAGAATTGTGAATAGTTTAAGAAAATATCCTGTTCAGGTTATTAAAAAAATGGAACATTTACAAACAACAGTTATGCTTCTTTTTTCGCTATTCGCAATTATTAACGGTGGATATTATCAATCAAAGATATTATCATCTGGGAATATTGGTAAGTTATATGACATAATTCAAAGGTTGTATTATTAAAATTTTTCAATTATATTTTTTAGGTTGTGAAGATCATATTTGTGGAACTAATGCAAGATGTACTCTCAGTGAAGACAGGCCAGTCTGTTCATGTATGAATTTACACATAGGGGATCCTCTTTTACGCTGTACTAGGGTAGAATGCTTAAGTTAGTGTTTATAAAAAAATGTAAACATTCCAAAAAATACTTTAATTAATTAAGAGTATTTCATTTTTAGTCAATGAGGATTGCATCAAAAGTAAAGTATGCTCTAATAATAGGTGTATAAATCTCTGTAATGATTTATGTGGTATAAATGCTTTATGTGAAACTAAAAATCATGTCCCAACATGCTATTGTCCTCCTGGACATACAGGAGATCCTTTTACTTCTTGCCATATAGTTGATCCCTGTAAGTAATATTTGATACATTTCTATGTATTATAAATTAATAATATAGAAATAATAGATAGAAAAACTGTATGATAAAGAGTGGTGATAATGTAAACAAATTTTTGTATACTTTTTATATCAGTTTTAAATTTCTGGTAATGTAATTTTTATATTTTGTTTTATTTTACATATATAAAATTAAATATCAATGGCTAAAATATGACTCTTGTAATGAATGCAACTAAAATTTTTCCAGTGGATGCTTGTAAAGCTAGTCCTTGTGGAACTAATACCAAATGTGAAGTAGTAAATAGTATTCCAGTCTGCAGTTGTCTTCCAGGTTATAGAGGATCCCCTTTAACTGGTTGCCATCATGAATGTGAAAATGACAATGAATGTCCTAATCATCTTGCCTGTTCATCTTCTTTTCGATGTGAAAGTCCATGTAAATGTGGAATAAGTGCAGAATGTCAAGTTATTAATCATCAGGCGAAATGTACTTGTCCAAATGTAAGTATTATTTTAAGAATTTAAGGTTACTTGGCATTGATTATTCAATATATAATTCATACAAAAACTTACAGAACTGGTTAGGAAATCCATTTATATCTTGCCGTCCAGAATGTACTACACACTCAGATTGTCCAAAAAACAAACCAGCTTGTTTCTATCAAAAATGCATCAACCCTTGTGACGGAGTATGTGGTATAAATGCAGACTGCAATTTACGAGGCATAACTCCAGTCTGTAGTTGTCCAAAACACATGACTGGCAACCCCTTCATTAACTGCAGATTATTTGAAGCACGTGAGTAACTAACCGTGTATAACAAATTTATATAAATTTTGGCACAAGAGTAGAGATTTATTAATATCCCTAGGAGATCTGTGTGAGCCCAATCCCTGTGGCACAAATGCAATCTGTACCCCTGGTCATGATAATACTGGAAAAGAAAGACCAGTTTGTACTTGTTCTACAGGATATATAGGAAATGCTTTAATCAATTGTCAACGTGGAGAATGCTTTACTGACAGTGAATGTCCAGATAATAAATCATGCATTGATTATACTTGTCAAAATCCTTGCACTGGAAAAGAATGTGGTCCAACCGCGACTTGCACACCCAGGAGCCATATTGCAGTGTGTACTTGTCCGAATGGTACTCGTGGTGATGCTCTTTATAATTGTGATCCGATTGATAACAGATCTGTGTACAGCTATGGCCGAGCTTATCGACATCGCTATTACTGAAAATTAAAATTGTTTGTGCATAATGCTACATATAATATTTTTTATATGATGTAACTAGAGAACTAATTTTGAAAAAAATGTATATTCATTATTAATATTAATAATTACTTAAGCTGTGTATGTATAATGACTATGTAAAATATACACGATTCTGTGACATCTTATAAATGTCATTTTTCTTTAATTTTATAATGTAATAGTAAAATTTTACTTATGGAAATTTGTATTTTGTCATTATGTAATTGCGCTATTGACTCAAATTGAATTCAATATATATATATAGATTTTTACAAACAATATGAATACGCATTCCTTTCGGATGTATCAGATTTAAGATCAAGTAATTTTAAAACATTACAATATTGAAAAACAGCACAGCTACTTTATAATTAAATTAATTATTAAATTACATATTTTATGGTTTTATGGTTGAAAAAATAGAAATTCCTTTTAAATTTTAAATTTTGCAATCTTTTTACATATTAACTTTTCTATTTTTTTTATAAAACGATGTAATGGATATATAGTTTTGTGACAGTCCGATAGAGTCCGATAGTGTAGTACAAAACTGATTACGTAGAGGTAAGGTACGATTGTTATAACTTCTTCAATCTTTGGCTACGCAGTTAATTAAGAATCTTTAAAAAAAAACGATTGAATTACTAGCAACGATCCTGTCTTCAACGGTGAAGGCTTATTTTTTTTCGGGCCTAGCCCATTGGGCTCTCTTGGCCCAAAAGCAAGGAGAAATGTCGATTCGGACGGTAGTTCACCGTTACTTACAAAATGTTCGGGCTCTACTGCATTCCTTCAGAAATACCGAGTGTTTCTACTCTAATTATCACCCAAGAAACTATCACGACAAGATACACGTTGCACAAGTAGGTAAGTTCGTTGACGTGAATTTTATTCTTTTTTTGTGATCGTTAATCGCTATAAGAAAACTTGGCACAGTCAATCAAACAGAGTGATTGAGATAATTTAATATTTTTGATTAACAATTCACGTATCATTGCATATATTCTCAGAAATATTCCAAATTTAAAATGAGATTAATTGTACTTTCAGTTTTTTATAGATCTTGAGGTTATATATCATAGTATATACTTAAACATAAAGTGACATTCTTGTTTCAATTATAATAGAATAGTATAAATCCTTTAAGATATGGAAACAATTTAAAATTTATTCTTTTCCATTTTAAAATAGGCAAGTCCCAGGGCTGCCTGCCCCAGGGTAATAGTAATGTGTCTGGCACAGGAAAGCGTCTCGGTTATTTGGGGGCCCATACCCGACAAATTTTCGTGGATAATATCTTAAAACGGGTGACCAATAGTTTGGCTGCTGATTTGCGTAGACGAACTGCTAGTAAATTAGTTTTTGGTGGAGACTCAGCTCCTTTCTTTGCTTTGGTTGGTGTGTCATTGGCATCTGGTACTGGAATATTAACAAAAGATGATGAATTGGAAGGAGTATGTTGGGAAATTCGGGTAAATAATAATTTATTTTTTACATTGTCTCATAAAGAAACCACAGAAAATTTCAGATATTAATAAAAAAGGATTTGATCTATAGGAGGCTGTATCAAAAGTACAATGGAATGCGCCACAAAATGACAAAAATTATGAGACACTAGACAATGAAGAAAAGATTATCACTTTAAAGGATTTCATTATTGGCCCTGTTATTGCAAAAGGATGCTCAGCTGTTGTCTACGCAGCAAGATTCAACAGTTCTTTCAATGATGAACCAAATAAAAAAGGCCAAATAAATATTGATGATAAGACCAAAGATATAACTGCATTCCCATTGGCATTAAAAATGATGTTCAACTATGACACTGAATCAAATGCATTATCCATCCTGAGATCCATGTATCGAGAAACTGTACCGGCCAGAAAATATTTGAAAAACGAAGAATTAGCTGAATGGGAATTAAAGATGGCTGAAAGAAAAGCTAAGCTTCCGCCACACCCAAATATTGTAGCAGTGTATTATGTTTTTACTGATAAAGTACCAGCTTTACCAGGATCATGGGGAATGTACCCTGATGCATTACCTACAAGAATCAATCCCCATGGATCTGGAAGGAACATGAGCTTGTTTTTGCTAATGAAAAGGTTTGTGTTATTTCAAGTATTAATTTCTTAATGGATATTTTGGATAACTTATCTATTTCTTGTTTTTCTTTATTATAGATATGACATTACATTGAAACAATATTTGAGTGATCACCACTTGAGTACAAGGGAATCAATATTATTACTGGCACAGTTACTAGAAGGAGTGACACACTTGAATGCACACGGCATTGCACACCGGTAAGTTAATACTTTTGATTTGAATGGAATATCATTATATTATGTATTAATCAGACCATATTATGTTTCATATATATCATTCTTGTCCTTAAAAATATAGCGATCTAAAGAGCGACAACATTTTATTAGACTTGTCAGAAGTAGCGGATAATTGCCCGTCTTTGGTAATCACAGACTTTGGATGTTGTTTAGCAGACAAACGTTATGGATTATATCTGCCATACAATACTCATGATGTCGATAAAGGCGGAAATGCAGCTTTAATGGCACCAGAAGTGATAACAGCAGAACCTGGTTCATTTACTAGTATCAATTACACGAAAGCCGACCTATGGACCGTTGGGACCATAGCATACGAAATATTTGGCATGAAAAATCCGTTTCACAATAATAAGGAAGGAATTTTTTTTAAAAATTATAATTATAAAGAGGAAGATCTCCTTCCTCTGCCTAACCACGTGCCAAGCATTATCTCTGCATTAGTAAAAAATTTATTATCGAGAAATTTAAATAAGGTATTTGCAATTAAATATATTTTCAATCCAAGAAAGTTTACATTATTAATTCTAATTTCAGAGACTCGATACGGAAACTGCAGCAACTATAATACAATTGCACTTATGGGCACCAAGCGTTTGGCTCCAAAGTGAATGGAAATTACCCTCATCTAATGAAGTATTTTTATTTATTAATTTATTTTTAAATTCATAAAATCTTATTCTTTTATTATATTTTTATATTGTTTATAGATTATGCAATGGCTTTTGTGCTTAACTACAAAAATACTTTGCGAAGGACAGAATAATATGCTGCCAGAAGTATTGCCCAATGAGAATGCCCAGGAATATGAAAAGAGAAATTCTTATAATAGATTACTTTCTACAAAATCCTGTGGGAGACGTACTATGCCAGAGTATCAATTAATTGCTAGCTTCCTTGGTAGAGTTACACTCGGTAACATAAGAACTGCCTTAAAATGGATTCAGCAAAATATATAATATATTGTTTATCCAAGAAAAAAAACGTAAAGAAAGTATTTATCTTTTGCACATGTATAAATTCAATCGTTCTCTATTACTTATTGGCAGAAAGTGAAAATTATTAAAATATTTTTATATTTTTGATTTATTGTATATTATCGTTAACTTTATCGTTTCTTAGTTGTTTTTCTTTGTATTAATATTATTTTTGATACTTTGCGAAGCATAAAAGAGTCATATTATTATACTAATTTATTCATTATTGAAATGATCAATGGTAATTATTGGAAAAATGAGGTGATTCTTTTGTGATTCATATGCCTTGTAATTAAATAATATTGGAAAGTATTGTAAAACATTTATTTTCAGCAGTTTTATTGTATTCATTTTATTTATCGAGAATAATTAAATTAATTAAATAATATATTGTCTTATGTGCGTAGAAGGCGATCTTTCATGTTTAGTAAAGATGGTTTATTCTGTGTTACAGATAATACTTGAAAATTCACTGTGCAATACTGAAATTGTATTGGCATATGATGACTTTCAAGTAGGTTAGAAAATCAAATATCAAGATATTTTCTCATCAAAGATTTTCATTAGATCAATCGATAACAAAGTAATATTTAAATATGTTTACACATTATAGATAATGAACACAAGATTTGACTTCACAAATTATTGTTAAAAAATAAAGGTTATATATTGTGTTCAGGCGTAATTAAGCAGTTCTTCTAGGTTTCCCACAAATTTGCATTTTGTATTTCATTTCTTCAAAATCTAAGTTTTTTGATTCCGCCAGAGCTTTCAAGTAAGTTAAATATTCTTCAAAAGATAGGGCTCTTTTCCGAAATTTAAAAAATGCAAGACCCGTATCTGTAGTCGTTAATGTAACCATATCGATTATACGAGCAGAAATTAACCATTTGTCACTTTGCGATAGTGGTAACAGTTGGATATTTTGATTGAAAGAAATTGGATCCATTTCGCAATATGCTTAATAAAAAAATAAATATCTGTAAATTAATTATAACTTTTGATTGCGTTTGATATAGATATTGATTACAAAGTATATTATTTTATCTACCTTCGAACATTATTTCTAGTGGAATAACTTCTAGTTCATCTTTTTTCTTAAGAAAAAAGTCGTTCATTATGTTTTATAAATGGAAATATTTTAATCTACCGTTAATCAATTTTTTACGAATAGAAATATAGTGAATGACTCCATCTGAAGTATGAACATTTCAACAACTTTTTTGATTGACCACATTCGGATAAAATTTATTAAAAAAAGTTTTTCGAATGATTAAGAGAATTGAATCATGAAATTTAATAAATATCAATTTCTATCCTCTTACACAGAGAGTAAAAATGTTAATGTCATTAATGTCGTACAGGATGTAAAACCTCGTTACAGTCACAAAATTCTAAGTCAATGCTTTTTCAAGTGCTTCTGTCAAACTATTTGTAATACAGAAAAAAGACTTGATATGCGTGGACATATCGTGTATAAAAAGATTAAGTTAGTAACTATAGAAATTCTGGATTTTACCAATTTATTTTAGTTATTTAACAAAATAAATTTAATATTTTCTACAAATAATCATAGAAGAAACCTTCAAGATATAGACATCCCAGCTTTGTTAATTTTCTTGAAGAAAAATAAGGATATTACTCATCTTAATTTGGCAAGTAATAGTATTTCAGATGCAGGCTTTATAAATTTGATTGATCACTTTCTTGTAAGATTCAGTATTTGTAAAAAATTATTTTCAAAAATTAAGAAGAAATTACTTATAATAAATATATTCTGAAAAAATACTTAATCCTAGCTGTATAAAAATATTCAAGAATTGGATATTCAAAACAATAGTATTGTTGATTACGGAATTAATTATATGCTTGAATTTGGCAAGAATTTAGAATTGAAAAATCTTAATTTGAGAGCAAATAAATTTAGTAATCGGGTAAAGTCCATTTTGTAATTACAATTGTAACACTTTATTGATTCCAATTATTCATTAAAATTTAATTAAACAATTTTTACAGGCATCAAAAAGTATAGCACTTTTTTTATTAGAAAATAAACATATGTGTAGTTTAAATATTGCGGATGTAAATCAAACGGCTTCTAGTTTAATATATTTTATGATGGTTTTGAGTGCAGATCAAGAAATTTCCAACAAATGTTTAAAAAGCTTAGATATCAGCCGACCAAATCCAGGATACATGTATTATTTTGATTCTGCTCATTTTGCAGATGTCATTGGTCACATGCTTAAAGTAATTTTATATCTCTATTTATTTTTAAGAATTTTTTCATTAATTAATGTTTTTGTTTTACAGTATAACACTACTCTGGTAGCTTTATATTTGCAAAAATATAACTTCAGTTGCCATGATATAGAAAATATGATGTTTAATACAAAATACAATAATTCATTATATTTGTTGGATTTAGGTTGTAATAATATTGGGGATCATGGTATTAAACATATTTCTGTATGGCTGGCAAAGAGACCAGCTTTAAAAATCTTAATTTTATGTAGAAACATTATAACTGATCATGGTGCAAGGTAGTTTATAATAATAATTTAATAATAAAGTCAAAACTTTTTCAAAATTGTATATTTTCACTAATTGCAATAAATTTTAGGAGTTTAAGCTGTATTATACCCTTTTCAAAACTTATATTCCTTGATATTTCGTATAATAAAATTACTGATGATGGTATGGTAAATATATTATATACACTAAAGAAGAGTCCTCTTTTGAGACAATTGAAAATATTTGGCAATTGCATTGGTCATCCAACTGCAAAGGTATTTGTAAAAAAACATGTAATAATTAGGACAATTTCTATTTTATAATTTTTTATAGATAGTTAATCGAATGTTAATATCTCAAGTTTTCAATCAAGAGAACATAGATATTAGACCATACAGAGTGGATCATACATGGTATTTCGCAAGATACAAAGGAGATTATCATAAAAGAGAGTATTATAATGTTCCTTATTGTCTTTTCTCACAAGCAAAGTCAAAAATTTCTCCTACAATGGCTCATTCCATTAGAAAATATTATAAATATACATACTCAACTATGACTGAAGTTAAATTACGACATGTATGATTTTATTGTAATCATTTTTTATGTTAAGCTTATTTAAAGAAAAATATTTTCTTTCTAGTCAGCTTTAACTCTCATTTCCAAAATACTAAGCAGACATCATGTAACAGACTGCAGATGTTGTTATTGTCTGAAATGTGAAGGTAATTAGAATTGTTGCTCCATCTTTCTAATGAAATACAATATTAATTAAGAACTTTTTTAGCTCCTCATTATGATGAACAATGCAGAGATGCTAATCATCCAGATACCTGTACTTGCTGCAAATGTAAAGGAGATGAAAGCAGTGATTGGTCTATAGATAAATCAGTTTTGAATAAAGTTATGTTTCTTTCTGATCCTGCAAAAGATATCGAATTTATTTTAAAACATGTAGATTCTGTAACTCGAGAAAATATTTTAAGATGGATTAATATTAAAGAAGATATCTTAGAAGAAGATTTAAAATTTATTGGTGGTATGAATTTATAAATATATATTTCCAACCAAGATGATGAATTACAAATAATTCATATCAATTTTTCATTTGAAATAAAGAATCAAATACAACAAAAGAAAGCACAAAAGAAATTATTTCGTGTAATTGCTCATGGGTGCAGCTAAGTATACCTGTATTGCAGAAATGTTTGGAAGAATCTTTTTCAATGGATTTAGTTATTATTCCCAAAGAAAATTATATCTATTTAAATAAAAGATGTAAAACTTGTGATACTGAAACTTCTTCTTCAGATCACTGTACAAATATTTAAATAAAACTAGATAATTTTTTATAAAATTAGAAATAAAGACTTTTCATCCCAAAATTTTATTATGTTATTTATATTCTTTTATACATGTACAAATTGAAAATTTACAAGATACAAAAATAAAAAATTACAATACATTCATTATATTTGACATAAATATTTATTTCTTAGTTAATTGTTGTTTTTGCTCTTTTGTCTCTTCTTTATTGCTTCTGGTATTACGACGACCATCTAATAGCATAGTCTTATCTTTTTCTCTACTTTCTCCCTCCTTTTTTAGTGACAATTGGTTAGAATCAGCTTCACGAGGCATTTTCTTAGTTTGTATAAGATCATTTACTTCAGAGGTAACTGAATTGCCTAAAATGTGTTTGTTTCTCAGAGAATTTTCAGGGAGCATGAAATTTGTTTCTCTGAAAGTTTGAGGGAAAGTATTCATGGTGAATCCTTTAGTTGCATAAGAATTATCAATCAATTCCTTGGCTCTATATGGAGTAGAGTCTAATCCCTGCATGTACATATGCTGGTATACAGTCTGCTGATGTAAATGATGAGGGTTGTGGACATATGGTGGAACATTCACATTAATATAGGTTTTAGTCCTGCCTTGAGGTCCTACTTTTATTTGCTGTAAATAATTAATACATTAATTCACATATTAAATATTTATTTTATATTTTACTATTTGTTACTTACATTTGCTACAGTATGAGGCATTACTAAAGAAGATCTAGCATAAGTTGATGAATAGGGCACAATGGGCACCATGTTCATAGCCACTGGTTCCATTTTCTGACAAGTACACTCAGCTAGAGTTCTATGGAGATAGTTGTTACAAGAGATTGTAGGAACTTGAACAAAAGTTGTCTGTTTTGGCTCATTGTCAGAAATCAGCATTAGATGATCTTGATATGTTGGAACTACTGGCAGCACAGTTAAGGCTTCTTGTGGTACTGGTAAAGGTTGTGGATGCTTCTTAATATGCATAGGCTTTGAGTGCTCAGTGGCATGCTGCTCAGATTCTATTGTAGAGGTTGGCTCAGGTTTTGCGATTGATTTTATATCTGTTTGAACATTATCAGTCTGAGGAGAAGATTGAATTGGAGCAGAAGGTTGAACGATTTGTAGGGTGTGGATTGGTTGGATTTGCCGAGGAAAGACTATATCAGCTTGTGGTAAAGATTGGAAAGTAGGTTGCACCAAGTTTAAAGTTTGGACTTGTTGAGGAACAAATTGAGTTTGCATTGTCAATGGAATGTTCTGAATAGGAAGTTGATTCTCACTTAAACCAATTTGAGGTACTTGAGAAGATCCTGGCTCTATTTGAAGACAGAATGCTGCTTTTTTTGATCTATCTTTTTCTTCGCCAATTTCTTCAGCTTTCAGATTCTCTTTTGTGATTTTTACCTTGCTGTCCTCTGCTAGTGATTTCTTTTCGATGGTCTTAGATACTGGAATAGCTTGTATTAGGGTAGCACCCAACAACAGGAATAGAAAACACGTGTTTAACTTCATTGTGGTCTTCGTGACTTTGAAACTTTGATTGAGGATCAATCGATCGAATTTCGTTTTTATACGAATTCCTTGTCATGTGAATTTTTGAGGCCATGATTTTGTAATACTTAGCATCACGCAACGGATTTGCGTTATTGCTGAGAATGCTGTAAGTTTCTTCATTGTTATGTATGTCATAAAACTTTTTTCTTTCTTTTAAATACAAAGGAAAAAAAGAGTTTCTTTCTTATAGTTCTTTCCTTCTTTCTTCAGGAAAGAATAAGGATAAACGAAATATCACATTTTCAGAAACATTTTATCAATTGCAATAAATTGTCGATGTATTCTTTTATTAGAATTAGAGAGTAAGATTATATGTACTTAGATAACAGAAGGATTATTAGCTATTAAATTATAAGAATATTCAATTTTTCGTTTCTATATTCGTGACCAAATTTATGTAAAGAATATTATAGTAAGATTATAGAAAAATATTAAAGAGAATAATTAAAATTGAGAATTATTTAAATTTATAAAAATGTTCTATTTATTTTTATAGGAATATATTTTGAAATAGGAGTTAAAAGTATTGACAAATTTCTTTAAAACAAGTACATAAAAGTGAAATATAACAATTAGCTGTATCAAATTTTAAATATAATTGTACGTTTTCGCAATAAATTTATTCTTGAAGGTATTTGTTTCGTAAAAATATTCGCAATATTGCAAATTATATGGAATTGATTATAGAATTCTTGGTCAGCGAATGTGTATATAAATGCGTTCTACCTTGCTGAATCAATACATTTATCCAATTATTTAATTTTTGTTATTATTTTTTTAATCAATTTTTTGTTTTTTTTTTTTGTTTTGTTTTAAATCATACGTATAGTAATAGAGGATAAAAATTGAAGTTCTTGGTATTATTGTTAAAAAATAATATAAATTGCTGTTTTAAGAATAAAATTAGTACCCGCATAATATGAAATGAAGAAGAAGTTTCACATCACAGCAGAGTGGCGCAGTGGAAGCGTGCTGGGCCCATAACCCAGAGGTCCGTGGATCGAAACCACGCTCTGCTAAGTGCACGAAAGAAAATTAAATTTACAGCGTTTATAATTTGATTTCGGGCTGTTTTTTGGTAGTTTATTTACTAACATTTTTGTCATTTTTTATAATCCAAAGCACAAATAATAAATGTTTCAACTATTTACATATATTACTTGATGTAATTAAGAATAACGCAAATTATGATTAATCGATTAGGATAAGTTATAAAACTCTAAATAAAAACTTTATATTGTATTATGTTGGATATATTTTAACTTAACTATTCTCCTGTTTTATAATGAACTTAATACTGATTTATTTGTAGTATGGAAGACTCATAAAAAAAATATATATTCCCCGCCCAACGTGGGGCTCGAACCCACGACCCTGAGATTAAGAGTCTCATGCTCTACCGACTGAGCTAGCCGGGCTATTGTAAAAATTTTTCAATTTTTTATAAAAGAATAGAATATATTTAATTACAAAATAAATATGATGTAAATAAATTAATATAAATAATTGTAGAAACTGTATTTCATATATATATATATGAAATATATTCATAAAAAATAAAGGTGAAGACTGTTTATAATAGATTGTTTATTTGTGTAACTTCTCATCACAACCTTTTAAGCATAAATCAGTTAGTGCTTCGCTGATATAATTTATATATACATAGCTACTTTCGTTCACTCTCTTTTTTGTATTTTCTTTTAAAGTGTCTTTAGTAAACATTTTTTGATAAATATATCTGTATAAATTAAAACAATTTGATAATTATGTAGATTAGGGTACAACACATCAATTTCGATGATTTTTTGATATATTGTAGAAATCAATATTTGACGTGCCTTTCTTAAATACATAACACATTCGATCAGCTTTATTTTCTAAAATATTTACCGAAAACATTCCATAATATTACATCGAGTTCTAGGTATAAGTATTAGAAAGCCCTATTGATAATAATGAAATGTAAAACGTATAAAAAAATCACCGAAATTAGTGAAATGTATTCTGATGTACATAATAACTCATCATTCTTGCAAAAATATATTAATCTGTAAAATACATTATGGCACGTAGCGCTAATAAACAACTAATTAAATTACAAATGAAAAGTATATAATTATAGTTTGAAATATGTTTTCAATCTTTGGTGTTTTCTCTTGATAGCTATCATTTCAACAAATTTTTAATCTTCTTATAGGTTATCCTTCTTAAGCACTGCTTTATAGAATTTCATCATGCTTTCTGAATGTAAGTATTTTCTGATTATTAAAAAAGATAATGCGTATGAACATCTAAGCTTTATAAATTATTTGAACGAGTGTGCAAAATAGATTTTGCAACAGATGAACACATATATCATTGTACCATAGTTAAGTATCGTATCTAACATCAACTAATAGATCAATGTTATCAATAATGGTATAAATGTAACGAACATGTGCTGATCTATATTGATCGCTGTTGAACATTCAGATGGGCAATTAAATGATCCATCCGTTTTATTTTGTAACAAAAGATTTCTCATCAATTTCTTCCCTTCGCAGGAATTTTCAATTTTGACAAATCTAATTTTTCGAGCTTCTAAGAATTGTTCCAATTCAACTCTACATCTCCATTTCAAAGGATTTCCAGAAAATTCAACGATATATACATTAGGCATATCGTTCAAATCGCTAGTAAAGATGCATCTTAAATCGTTTCCCTCGAGATTTAAATATGTTAATCGATTCAAATGTCGAAATGATCCAGATTCGATGTATTTAATGGAATTTCCGCGCAAATTTAACCTTTCTAGGTTGTTAAGATTAAACCAAGAAGATTCTACCATTTCCAGAGGATTATCCTGAATAGTCAAATTCTCTAATTTATTCAAACCATTAAATGCACCTTGTTCTATAGTAGCCAATCCAGAATTTCTAATAATAAGTTCTCGTAGATTTATAAATTTTGAAAATGATTCTGAAGGTAGTCGCTGTAGATGTCCCTCGTTAATTTCGATCGCAGTGGCATCTGATGGTATCGATTGTAACAACGGTAGATTACTACCCGTGCATCGATATCGAATCCCCATTATATCTTCGTGACTGGTACAAGTTCCTTTAGTAGTCTCATTCCAAGGAGAAGCGCTAGTTGTTACCGGAATTAGAGGAGTAGTAGCAATTTTTGGCCCAGATGAAGCGTAGCAATCTTCGTTTAACAAGAACGATGTTTTATCGTAGTTTATACCACGTGTGCTCAAAAATTCAGCTAATTTATTCCCACATAGACAACTCCAGGGATTATTAGAAACATCCAGAAAGGACAAGTGACGTAATCGATGAATCATATATTCCACTCCGATGCAGTTCATAGCATTTTCGGAGAGGTCTAAATTATCGAGATACGGCAAATGGTCGAACACGTCGTTTGTAATTCGATATATATTATTATGAGATAGGTCGAGATGCCTTAAGTTATAAAGTCCCTCGACCATCTCACCACTTACGGATTCGAGTTGATTGCTTTGAAGGGACAAGTATTGTAAATTATAAAGATTCGAGAAGGCATGCGGTTCGATTCTTTCTATACCACAATCTCGAAATTCTAATCTCGATAAATAACCATTGAAGCGTGCAAAAGTATTCTTGGGAATTTTCTTGATGTTTGATAGGGTAACTCGAATCGTGTGCGCCGTTGAAGGTATCAAGTTTAACTCTTCGATCGATGTGATACCTCGACAAGTGTAGATCGACCTAGATCTGTCATCGGTACTTTCTGGGTAGCACGTACCCGTATAAATAGGAGGTTGATCCGTGATAATGCTAATCTCAGGTGAAGGAGTAGAAAGGGGTGGTCTGTCTATCGATATATTCATTTGTTTAATACTGTCCTCAAACGAAGTCCAATGCACCCTTCCCTGCGTGGTCGAAGTATCGTGAGTAATTATCTGTAAACAAACAAAGGATAATAATTATTTCTGTTCAATTGGCTACTCTCTTTAAGCTGGCTACACAGCTTGATCAGCTTGAAAGCGAATAAGTGAAAAAGCACGATACCTGTTGCTGGCGCCAGCTGTTGTTGCTATTTGGAATTTCATTTTCGCTCTCATAACATCGACCAGTGTTAATTTCAAATCCGACGTTTCTTTGAGTGAGAAAGTTTTCAAGGTCTTTTGTACAGGTACAGAGCCAAGGATTTCCTACTGCATCTAATCTCTCTAACTTTTTCAGGTGAGCCATTTCCTCGATCGGTACACATCGAAGTAAATTGTCTCGAATATCGAGATGTCGCAAAGTGTCTCCAACGTGATATAACGCGGTTTTTTCTATCTGCTCTATATGATTTCGACTTAAAATTAATTGTTGAAGACTAACAAGATCTCGTAACCAATTGGCATCCAGAACTGGTAACCGATTACCGACCAAGGAAAGACGTTGCAGCTTATTCAAGCCGGCAAAGGCTCCCTTTTCGATCGTGCTAATTTGGCAGTCAATTAAATCCAAAGTTCTCAGACTATTTCCAAATCTGAAGAACGCGTATCTCGGAAGCGAGTTTATGGTCAAGCCGGAAATTTCTATCCACGTAGTTTTGTCCGGAAGTCTATCCAGGGAAGTAAATACGTTGGTTTGAAATTCATTTCCACGAATCGTCGTGCGCTCCTGCAATTCGAATTATCATTATCACTGGAAAATTAAAATACAAAGTACGCGCGAGTATCAAAGGTACTTACTTTATGAAAGTCATATAATTGCTGAGTAGTCAAAACGGAAGGAAGTAGAGGAAATTCAATGGGTGTCATGCATTGATATTTTTTACAAACGTTGATGTACTTTGAACATTCTACCTCTTGGACGATAGATCGAGATCGAAAGTATTCGTCCAATTTTTGTCGACACTCGCAAAGCCAGGGGTTACCGTCAATGCGTACAGTTCTGAGCATTTGTAGATAAGATAGTTGCTCGATCGGTAAGCAGTTGAGATCGTTATCTCGCAATCCTAAAACTTCCAATCTGGGCAGCATGCGAAAAACGTCGGACTCGATATGTATTAAGCCGCATCTGTAAACAGTTCGGACATGCTTTGCATCGATTACGAGGCGTATTATCATTTTTACGTAACCATAAATTTGCTATGAAACGAAGGAGAGCGTTGGCGTTTCTCAAAGAAGGAAATGTCGCGTTTCCGCGTCTTTCTTGCAAATAACCCTGGCCTGTGATACTTTTCTTGGAAATCTTTTTAATTTCAACTTGACATCATGTTTTCAATTATGTTCTCTATTAACAACTGACAACTTGTGAATCGTCGATCATCGGATTCTTTTTATGTAATCAGTCCTGTTTTTATACGAGCGGTACCTTGAATTTTGATCCACATAATCGAAATAGACCTCAAGAGTAGTAGCATACGTAACTTCCATGATTCTATTTCAGATTTTATTTAATAAGTATTTATCAACTACCCATTTAATTTGAATAGTTTCAAATTAATTTACATTAATTACGTTATTTAATTAATTACGTTAATTTACATTAATTTGTTAATTCTAATCCTCTAAATAATGCTAAAACTCGTAAAAAATGTTAATCTAATCTCATCATTTATAAGGTAATACTATTTAAAGTATAATTTACCTATCCAAGATAAGTCTTCTCAGGCTTGTCAGAGGACGGAACCAGGCGGCTCTAGCTACGTGTATCTTGGTTCCATGGAATATTAGCCATTCTAGCCTATTCAAATTAGAAAATGCATCTGGGCTGATGAAGTTCATATGACAATTGTAGAAGGAAAGTTTTCTGAGGTTTCCGAAGCGACCGAACGCATTGTCTGAGATAAGGTGAAACCGGGACACCGTGAACTCTATCCACTCTGCCTCGCTGGATATCTCGTCGAGGTCGTTTAGGTCGCCGTGAGTGCAAACGTAGGCGATCGACCGTTCGTCATTTACAATTGGTGCTAGGCTGCATTTACACTCCGCTCGGTCAATTAGGGCGACCAACGCCCAGAGTAAAATCAAATGCATCGCCTTTTTCAATTCTATACCTGCTGCCGTGTTGCATGAACATGTACTTTCTGTAACCAAGCCACATCGTCATTCTCCAGAAATAGCAGTGCAAGTTGGAAAATTTAGGTCTCGAAGATGGAGATTTTTCATTTTCAAGAAGATCGCATGACTCGATGTAACGTCACTTTAGAAGCTTCTCGACTCGTACACTTTTTTCATCTTTCAGTTGAAAACGTGCAATAAAAAAAAAAAATTGTAATAAATTGGCCGAATAAATATGGAATATTGGAATTTATAAATATCTCCTGTCATTAACAACCATTTTAGCATGTTTTTGTACTTTTGTACAGTTAGTAATAGGAAGTATACAACACGTTACACTTTCGAAACATCGAAAGCTCATTTGTTGTTACCTATGATATACCTGTAGATCGGAAGTGCCACTTGTCGCTACTCACCATGGTCACGTTCAAACGATCCAGACGCGCACCTCCCGTCCGAAGCAACCAGTCGCGTTCCTACCGTCTCGACCACTTCAAACGTTTCACTTTCAACGGTCCAAAAGCACTATTCTCTCTCGTCTGATCTTTCAAATTATCCACCGAACTAGAGCACTTTTCACTCATCAGCTTTTTCATCCCCTCCTGTTTCTTATATTTTCTACAATTGGAAATTTCCGATGCAATAACAACGAAGTGTTATCATAATCCGTGATAATATGTCGATAATACGTAATTGGTAGAATAATTAATAGTTCCAATTCTTCAAAATCACTTCCATCGATCTTTATGTAATTATGTAATCCACAACTATTTTCAATGCAACGTTCGTGAAACGGAAACACGATAATCCCCGGCTGCTGTTTTATTGCTATAATTCATAGATTGGCACAGCGGAAATACAATAGAAAAAGAGGCGTTGTTTATAAATGGAAGTAGCTACGCGTGAGGAAGCGTGGCTATGAAAGAAACTCGACCAGGTGACAGATCGGTGGATCGAAACGAAACGATGCGACTGAGCTCATGATTCTCGCGCTTCTTCGTTATATAAACTTCTAAGGCCAAGGTTATCCTTGTCCCCCGCGCCGATTGTAGGTACACACGTCGATCCCCGACCTATCTTTAGCATGCGCCGCTCTAGTTTGGCAAGAAAACTTGCATTTACTATGATGCATTTGCCAGAGTATAACGCGTCTATGCCTTCAGCTGCAACTACATTTCTGCGAACGTGGTTCCGCTGGTCAAATTACCAGCAAGTAGTGACGGACTTGTTGAAAACGTCAAGGCATCTTGAAGGTCACTGTGCCCCCATGCTGCGCATTTCTCGCATCGGATAGAACTTTTTGCAGATATTAGTTGGAAGAATCGATCAAATGAAAATACAACAAAAGTTTGGTTATTTTCTCTTTTCACACCTTCCGTATATTATATCGGAAGAAATTTTCATTGCAAATGGTTAGAAACTTTCGGATTAGCTTTTATTTCACGGTCCTCGCATTTTCAAGGTCTTCGGCCAGATTTCAACGCTTCCGTGATGACCCACAATGCAAACTCAGAGAATGGCCTGGTTGTTTTTCATTGCATCGTGACACGAAACGGTACCATTTTCAATAAGAGCTTGTCACGTTGATTGATACACCTAGTTTTCCTTTAACTTGGCCAGTGTTCTAATACGGTGCGATTGGAAATTGTATTTAAAATTAGCAGTATGGTGCTAAACAGTGTGGTCCAATTTTGCCGAATAAATTGAACCACGCGTTATTATTCACGTATCTTATCTAACCCGAGTGATTGCCATATGTTCGGCATATACAGTTTAGATAGTTTGGCCCTCAATGGACAGCCAATAGTCCGAGTATGTCTGATTCATTCGTTTTAAAATAATTATTTTATATTTATATTTTCTATCCCCTTCAATGGGATGTTGCTTTTCAGACAAATTTTAACATTCATTTTAAGACAAATACATTGACACATTTAATACGGAAGAAGATATACGTTCAATCTATTGTTCTATTCAGGGACAAGTTGACTCACCCTCGTAGTTACATAAGAAATGTTCTATCCTATCAACTAAGGGGCAATACCGATCTATTTATCTAGAACAGTCTGGATTGAATTATATACATAGGTGGTCGGGCAGAAAAATTATTGGGTCCCCGCGACATTATTTTACAATACTTTGTATGAAAGAAGGAAAGGAAGAAAAGAACAGAAAGAAAATTACGAGGATACATCGAGTAAATAATGATCACTCGAAATAGTAAAAGAAAGTAAAATATTATATGAAAACCAAAGACAAAAATAGCTGGGAACATTAGTTTGCTATTTTTCTTTTTTTTTTTTTTGCGATCATTGAAATTGCAGTTTTACCAATTCGTATCTACGCACAATAAAGTTGCGTTAGTATCTGTACTATATTTCTGCTCCATGGTGATTAGTCGTCACTGCTACGCCGTCTATCCATCCATCCATTTTACCCATCCAAGTCGAAGACGATGCATCGTCATTGCAACCGGCAGTCTCTCGCGTGCTGTCGTTCACGGCGCATGCAGTTCCGCATTCGTTCTCCTGTTCGCGCCTCTTAGTAGATCGTGCTTCAAGAAGAAATAAAAAAGGCAGTGATCGTTTTTTTTTTCCAATGTTCGATCGATACTACAGTTGAAATCGAGTAGTGCCGCAGAGTCCAGTGAGTAATGTGTATTTTTCCTAATCGCCATAGCCCCTCCACTAGTGATAACTGTTAATGTAATTACTTGAAACTGCATCTAAGCGTTCTAGGAATCATAAGATACTATCCTGCTCCTTGTACCGTTAATTTTAACGACTAATTCGAGCTATTACACGATTCTGTACTGGTACTTGCATAATAATTCATAGATCTTACAATTAGTAGCAGAACGCATTTGGTGCTTATTGGAACTGTGTGTAGAGGTGTTGAATCGAGTTTAATAGTATCGATTGTAACGGAGAACATCATAAATTATGTTATATCTGTCAAATTTACATTCAGTCCAATGCATCGTATAATAATTGGAAAGCAAGAATTGTCGCAACAATTAATACCGGAATGATTTTTCTTCTTTAATTTAATCTACTTAAAGATCGACAGCATCGTTAATGTCATTTTATGTATCATTGGGATTATCTTTGTTTTAAATCAGAGAAATACTTTTGTTAATAGCTAGAGAGCAGCTTAATACCTTATTCACTCTACGAGCCTCGGTATCGTACAAATAATACCAATTTAACCCTCGATTATTATACTCCAAGGTAAAGAAATGCGAAAAATTGCTTGCAGGTGAGAATCGAAGGGTGACACTCGATTTCAATCAAGAGAACGATCAGAAAAAGTCGGCAGACAAGAAAATGGATTCTCACAGCATCAAAATGGGATTCCAAGTTCGTGATTCGTGGTTAGATCTACGTGGGTCGACACGAGTCGTAATCACACCAGGTGGGTAGAAGCGAACAGGTATTTGGAGTGTAACAGGAGTTCTCCAGAAGAACATTCGCTGCAGTCGGCTTTTCCACCACGTACAGGGTTTCGCATGTTACCTAATGCACACGCACGACAAATGAAATTAGCAGCGATTAGGTCAGAAGGTCACCCAGTTCGCGTGTACCAAGGTCGACTAAGCCAATCGAATGATGGATTTACGTATAGTATATGTGCGTATATGTGTTGTATATGTGCGTACTAACCATGTTGTATCTAACCGTAACCATGTCACGTACAATCTTTTTGTCGTTTTATAAAATGTTAGAAAATCTCCGGTGACTAAGCTTTCCTCTCTAATTCATTCTAACTAATCACTGAATAAACAAGTAAATACGAGATTTAGCCTATATTTAAAGTTATTTATTTTATAGGTACATACACGATATTATACAGAGCGATACTTAGTTCAGATGTATACGAAGTTACTCGCATATCGCATAATGATTACACGATAAAAAAAAAAGTATCTTCACCGTCATTGAAAAATCTCAATATTAGCGACCGTTATGTATCACCTGAAACACCATGATAACCACATACGTTTTATGAAAATATCTCAGATATCTTCGATATACCCTATATTTTACTAGACGCTATTTAATTATCAAGAAAAACACCACTGACAGAAATCGAAACAGCAACCGATTGTTTGCATGACGAACGTGCAACGCAGTATGATGCCGAGCGAAGGGACGAGCCCATGAGAAAGAGAGAGAGAGGAGGGCAGGAGAGGTCACAGCAACGGAATAACGTAGAATGGAATGGCATGGACATAGCCAGTTCGCATTGAACTGCCGAATCGCGCGGTTCGTTTCAGCTTTCGTTTCTCTCGCGACTGTTTCGTTTCCTCGCCACGCTGGACGCTCGTTTACAGTTGATACTACCATCAGCCGCGACTACCAGACTCTAAATTTGGATACCTATGTGCAGGTGCGATTACGATGAAGTTATGTCACACATCAGTGTTTACATATGAAAAGATGTGAGGATTCTGGTGGAGGATAACGAGTTTATCGGGGTTAGATTAAAAGTAGAAGAAGTAATATAAGGATTCAATAGAGACATCGTATATACGCAGGCACTTGTCTTAATCGGTTTAAAGAGCGTTCGAGAGGAAAGGCAGGAGATAAAGGTTACCACGCGACCCATTGAATCGTTTACGCGGGTGTCGCGCGTGTGGGCTGTCTAGTGTTCCTAGCGGCAATACCGTCCAAGTTGCTGCTCCCGTTGACAAAGTGTAGGCCGAGGAAACAAGCCTATCACCGCCACACCCTGCGGCGAAACGTGAAGAAAGTCCAGATCCGATGGAACCTTGCTTGTCGCGATGCATCCTCCGTATCATACACCTTTTCTATATCGCATTAGTGCCTCCAAGTTTTCACTCAGCCTGCTTTATTTCTTGTTTCAACTTAAATCTCCTTATAAGGATTCATCGATCTTTAATGATTCTTAAAGAATCCTTTAATCCTCTTT